GACTGAGAAATTAGAAAGATTTGCAGAAAAAGTGATATGCCTGTATAGCAAGAAAGCACCCTTTTTTTTTTTTTTTTTTTAAGTGACCAGAAAACATGCTGACCTGTGTGGCTGCTAGCCTGCAGCACAGATGGGATGGGTCTGGTGAATGTTAAATGCTCAGTAGCAGACAGTGTGGTGACTCTGCAGTAAATTTGCTGCCATTCCTTTTCTCCTTCTGAAGGGGGTTCTTCCCCAGGTGGGGTGGTTGGACCCACAGTGCAGCGTGTCAGCAGCCCTGGGAGAGCCTGGTGGCTGGAGGTGCTGGGGCTGCCTGGGAAGGAGTTGTTAAAAGGGCTTCCAGTTGTTGGGATTGCACTAGGAAAAAAAAATGAAAGAAAAACAGTTTCTGTGGAAGGAGAAAATAGGAAATAAGAATAGTCAAGAATGCTGTTCTTTGTCTCTTTTTCGTGAATTTTTTATTGGCCTGAATGTTTTGGGGTGGTGGGGTTTTTTTGTTATTTTTCTGAAAAAGAAACACCAAAACACCATGAAAATCCCACTGAGTTGAGCAAACTGATGCTTCTTGACCTGATAACATGATCGTTTTCTGTTCTGACTGTGACAAGTTGAGGGTGTGAGCATGACAAGATGCTGAATGGTGAGAGGGCATCAGGGGCAGGAAGCTTTAGGGCACAGAGCAGCCAGCACTGCCTTACAGAGTGAGGGAGGATGGTGACTGAAGCGGGCCAGGTCTCAGCAGGGCTGTTTTCTAGGATTCTGCCTATGTAGCAACATTTTGAGTTATCTCAAGATTCCCCAGCCAACTCTTTCAGGATTTGGGGGAATGAAAGAATGGAGGGGTGCTGCTTTTAAAACCTCAAATAAGTTGTTTAATTTCAAAGCCATAGATTATATTAAACTCAAAGGCAAAAGACACAACCTTCTAAACAGCTAAAATAAGTCTTACTGGACTTATTTTATGGTTGCATTTATAAATTCTGCATATTCCTGATTGGTGCTAACAAGGTAGGAGCCTAGAGTATGTGTCCTGTAAAGAGAGTTTGAGGAAGCTGAGCTTGTTTGGTCTGACAAAGAGGAGGCTAGTGGGAGATCTTGTGGCTGCCTACAACTATTTAAAGGATGATTAAAAGGATAAGAGAGCCAAAGTTGTCTTGTTCATGTGAGATGATATAAAAAGAGGCAGAAGTCATGAGTCATGAGCTGTTTGGGAAGTTCATGTTGGAGATGAGTACAAACTTCTTTCCCAGGAGGGTGGTGCAGCCTTGGGACAGGTCCCAGAGAGGTGGGGGATTTCCATTCTTTAGTGTTTTCAAGCCTCAGCTAAGCAAAGACACTGATTTACTGTTGGCAACAGTCCTGTTGCAATTAGGAGATTGAACTGGAGATATCTGGAGGCCCCTTCAACCAATTCTAAATGTAATTCAAGACCAACTCTTTCTTGGGAAAAGTTATGGAGGTTCAGATAATCAATAGGTAGCTCACAACTGCCTTTTTTTTCCCCACTGTGGTTCAGTTTTTAACTATCTCTGAACAGGCCTGCTCATGCCTGTAGCTTAAAACATCAATAGCTACACATGCTTTGTAAACTATTTGTAAATATTTTTAGAACATGTCATGATATAAATTGTCAGGGAAGTTGAACAAGAGACCTCCAGAGGTATCTTCCAACCTAAGTTACACAGTGCATCTGGGATTCTACCTTTTATTTTAGTATAAAGGTAGTAATTTTAGTATAAAGGTAGTAATTCTGTAGTTAGTCTGAGAAAAAATTTAAAATTCAGCAGTGTTTTCCCAGAAAGTTTTATATAACCTGGTAGGCTCTTACCCAGCTGCAAGTCTGTGTGACCCCTTTGAGGTAAAGGATTTTCATGTGTATTTGTGGCAACTCGATTCACCTGGATTTGCAGACAGTAAACTACTGTAGAGCTGGACCTTGACAGATGATAAGAGCCTAGAGAAGGGCCTCCCACAACAGCAACATCTCCAAGGAGTGCCTTGCTACCCCAGGGTCACTTCTGTCTGTCCCAGTGCAAGGACAGAGAGGAAGGGAGGGCTGTGAGAGTTGTCCCTGCAGAGGGAGGAGCCCCCTCAGCTCTAACATGCAGTGAACAGCCGTGGAGGGGCTGTGCCTTTCCTGCCCTGTCATTCCACACTGGGGACGCTGAAGCTGTGGGGAATCAAGGGGGCGGGATGAAAGTTGTATGTGTAGAGGCAGAGACTGGGAGGGAGCTCTTCATGCATTGGCCTTTCTTGCTTTCCGCTGCATTGCTGGTTCATCTGATTGTCTTTTGCCAGAAGACCCATTGCTCTCTTTTGCTTCCTACCCTTGCTTCGCTGCAGACCACAGTTGCCGCTCCATACTGCTGTGCTGGGAGGGAATCAGCTGTAACTTTGCCTCTCTTTAATGTTTGTTTCCTCTCTTTTTTCCTTTGCTTGTCCTGGCTGTGGCATTTCTCGGGGGCTGGGTACAGATGGATCTTTGTGATACTGACAGCGATGAGGAGATTCTGGAGAGGATACTAGAGCTCCCACTTCAGAAGAACCACAGCAAGAAATTGTTTAGCATCCCTGAAGTGACTGAGGATGAGGATGAAGATGAGGATGAGAAGTGTGTTATGGAGGAAAAGGCAGACCCTCAAGACTCCTTGGAAACGGTTACCTACCATTCAGGAAGGACAGAGAAGCCTCTTAGCGTCAAGGAGCCATTTCTAAAGGCAGATGGGAGTAATAACTCCACGACTCTGTCTGCTCAGACTTCACAGGAGGACCATGGTGTTAAGGAGAGCAGAGGGGATGCTGACCATGCGAATCCTGCCTTTGTCCCACTGGCCTGGAGTCAGAAGAAGGCAAACTGGAACTGGAGCTACCAGGAGAATGATTCGAAGTCTGGGACCGGGACAAGTCCTGCTTGGAGCAAGAAGAAGGGAAATAATTATCGAGAGAAGACCCGGAGTCGGCCAGAGATGGGTAGGAAGAAACAGAATAATATAACAGAGCACTGCAGTCGTCTGCTGAGCAACTGCAGCCAGATGGGAGGCGGGTTATACAGAGCTCCTAGCCTCAGGGAAGAGCTGAACATTGTGAGCAGTGCTGGTGGTAAGGAGGGGTTTGATATGTACAGTCGTGCCAGACAAGGCACCTTACGAAAAAACAACGTGAAAGCAGTGGTTTCACAGTTTGCAGAACCTACTGTGATGGCAACACACTGCTCCAACCCCAGGAGCCTGGAAATAGACATTGAATATGACTCCGAAGATGATCAGGATTCGACCTGTGCATCCCCCCCTGAGAGCAGGCTGTGGTCAGAAAGGTCCCAGAGCTGTCAGGGGGAGTGGAGTGATTGCTCCAGTCAATCTGAGGCTGCACACATGGATGGCAGAAGCGACCTGACCAGACTGGAGATGATAGAAGAGCAGGGTATGGAGTGGGCTGGGTCTCCGAGCCAGCGCCTGCGGTTCTTCTGTCGGGAGAAGGAAGCACTGAGATGTGAGAGCAGTTCTGAGGAGCAGGGCTGGGAGCTGGACTGTAAGTCACCTGGCTGGAGAAGGAGGCTCGAACATCCTTCGAAGGGGATACGTAGCACCTCCTTGCACAAAAGGGTTGGGTGACTTTTCCTATTCTGGCTTTGAAGCAGCTTGCAGTGGCATTAGCTTCCCTCTGCTTCCCTGGCCTGCCTGTATCTTGCTTTGTTCAGTGTTGTCCAGAGAAAGGACCCTTCTCTAGGATTGTCTGGAAGAATATTTGAGAGATTCTGTAGTTCTGTGCTGCTCCGTGGCTTTTCTTATATTAGCTGCTTCTGCTTTTCCTGCTAAATGACCGAGTGTCGCCGATGCAGTATTCCTTTTCGCACTGGGTCTTCCTCCCCATGGCAGGAGGCTGTGGGACCCAAATAAGAATCCCTGGTGAAATAAGCTGATTTGTGAAAGCTTTGTGTAGATGATGACTGTCATGTCATTGCCTTCCCTTGAAATGCCCTTTCGTGCGTCCTCATGCTCACCAAGGGGATCATCACAGGTGCCTAGCAGGGTGCCTGCCTGTACCTAGTTTTGTTTTCCAACTCCCTTGGTATTTTCAGCTCTAGAGTGTCCCTGAAGAGGAATGTTGCATTTGGATGCGTTGCTCTTTGTGGAGTGCGTTTGGGCTGAGCACTGTTCACTGAGTCAGAAGGCAGAGGCTGCCACTAACTCTCTGGTGGTTCCTGTTGCAGGCGTCCGGTAATAAAGATCCTAGGCGCCCAGAGCTGCCTGGCACAGCCGCCTGGCAGGCTCCCAGCGGGAGAGCGAACAAGAGTGTAAGAAGAAGCCAAATGCAGAAACCTTTGCTCTCTAGTCCAGGTGAGCGGGCAAAGGGGGAAGAGAGTGGGGCAGCAGGAGAGAGGGAGGCTGTTGGAAACAGCAGGGGAGAGGCTGGTAGGCAGCGTTTGAGCCATGCAGGCCTGTGGCAGTGGAATGGTGCTGACCTTCCCTCTGGTGTGTCTCCTGTCTGTGCACAGGTCCTCCAAGGAGCACTGCTTCAGAAACCTCTGTTAAAGACGATGGCATTAGAATATTTGTGGCTCTCTTTGACTACGATCCTGTTTCCATGTCTCCTAACCCTGATGCAGCAGAAGAGGAGCTCCCATTTAAGGAGGGACAGATCCTGAAAGTAAGAGCACACCTTAGTGAATGTCTCTTACTCTGAATGGATCCATTTGATGTTCCAGGGACAGCATAAACCTTGGGAGGCAGAGCCTCCTTCATCTTGGGAGTTTCCTTAGCATTCCTTTCTCCATGCATCTCAGCCCCTGTAGCATAAACAGCCTGTCTTTTCCCTTGCAGATATGTGGAGACAAGGACGCTGATGGCTTTTACAGGGGTGAATGTGCAGGAAGGGAGGGGTACATTCCCTGCAACATGGTATCAGAAGTCCAGGTGGAAAACAATGAAATGAAGAAGCAGCTCCTAAAGCAAGGCTTCCTGCCTGCCGGCACACCGATGGAGAGCGTAGGTACTGTATCTCCTTTATGTCTGTTTTGTGCTACTGTCAGCATGTTTCTTTGCTGAATGGAGAGCTCAGTTGTGCTGTCAAGCTGTGTGGTCAGTGCAGCCCACCAGAATGATCTCTAGTGCTGGTCTGGAGGCTTGTTCAGCAGCTGTTGCGGTAGGAAGCGGGGAGGGCTCGACGGATGAGGGGGACAGGTGTTCTGAGGCCTCAGTCCATAGCTGACTGGTGCATCACAGTGCTGCCCAAGGCTGCATTTGCAGCTGCTGGAGCTGCTTCTGTGCTTGAGGTGTCATGTTTGTGAACTTATCACGGAGTGTGAGTGAGGCTGATCCTCGCTCAAGGAGGGGAAACAAAAAAGTTTGAAGAGCAGCTGAAGAATGTGAACAAGAGTTTTCACTTCTGTGTTCTCTCCTTTGTTTTGTGAATCTGTAATTGAACCCTTCTTTTGGGTGAGAGAATCTTATCTCAAGTACAAATAATACAGGCTGGGTGGAGAATGGATTGAGACCAGCCCTGAGGAGAAGGACTTGGGGGTGTTGGTTGACAAAGAAGCTCAGCATGACCCAGCAGTGTGTGCTGGCAGCCTAGAAAGCCAACTGTGCCCTGGGCTGCATCAAGAGAAGTGTGGACAGCAGGTCAAGGGAGGGGATTCACCCCCTCTATTCCACTCTTGTCAGACCCTCTCTGCAGTGCTGTGTCCAACTCTGGGGGCACCAACATCAGAAGGACACGAACCTGCTTGAGTGAGTCCAAAGGTGGGCATGAAGATGATCAGAGAGCTGGATCACCTTCTTTATGAGGACAGGCTGAGAGAGTTGGGGGGGGTCAGCTGGAGAAGAGAAGGCTCCAGGGAGACCTTAGAGCGCCCTCCCAGGACTGAAAGGGGCTACAGGAAACTCAGGGAGGGACTCTTTTTCAGGGGGTGTAGGGATAGAACAAAGGGTAACAGTTTTAAACTGAAAGAGGGTAGGTTTACATTATATATAAGGAAGAAATTCTTCCCTGTGAAGGGGGTGAGACACTGGCACAGGCTGCCCAGAGAAGCTGTGGCTGCCCCCTCCCTGGAAGGGTTCAAGGCCAGGTTGGACGGGGCTTTGGGCAACCTGGGCTAGTGGAAGTTGTCCCTGTCTGGGGCAGAGGGGTTGAAACTAGATGATCTTTGAGGTCCCTTCCAACCCAAACCATTCTGTGAGAAGCTGTGACTTGGGAATGGAGGAAGATGGGGAGAGACTCATGGGGAAGGGGAAGGAAGGGTGTGAGACAGCAAGGTAGGCAGTCAGGAGTGTACAAGGAGCAGACCTGGTCCTTGGGCCCCTCCGTACTTGCTCCCTGAAGTATGTGGATCAGTGCTTTATGCACAACAGAGACTTTCCTGTTTCTTCCCACTTTGTGCTTGGAGAGAGGAAAGGATCCTTCCCTGGGATGTGCAGCCAGCACAGCTCGGGCTGAGTTTGGCTGTAGTGCAGTGGCAGTGAGCTGCCCTGAGACTGCTGTCAATATATTGGTGTCCCAATGACAATCCCTTATCTCTCCTATCTCTCATCCTGCACCTTTCCCAGTACTCTCTGCTAGCAGTGACAATTGTTTGACCTGCTCCACTTGTTAAAACAAGAGGTAGTTCTTCTTTTGGCTGGCCACTGTTTCCCTACAAGTTGAGCACGGTAGAACAGCCCAAGTGTGGGTCTGATGGCAGTGGTAAGCCTTGACATTGGCTGAGCCCTGGAGGCTAAGGAGCTCCTAAATGTCCAGCTCCTAAATTGAGTTGCTGGAAGGTGGACCCTGAGGAGCACAGGGGCTGAAGGACCCTGTTGCTTTCACCACTTTGTAGCTATGTGATTTTTTTGGTAGATTTGTGTCCTTTGGCCTCTCTTATGTCTAGAGAGAGGAGAGATATGACCGAGGCTTTTTTCACACTTGGGACATTCCTAACGTTTCTCCTGCGTGTGTCCTCTAGCGCCCAGAGATGCCCAGATGCCTGTGGTGGCCTTTGTTCCTGTGTGGATACACAAGGCACTCTGTCTTCTGCCCCACTGAGCACTCTCAGAAGAATAAAGGAACTCTGAGACTTCATGAAACGTAGCGGGTTTGAAAGTTTTAGGGAGGGTGGTGATAGTGAAAAAGACACACCTTATGTGTGCGTGCAGAAAATAATCCTTGTTCCTTAGACAGCTGGGCTGTATGTTCCTGTTTTCCTGCTGCCATAAACCCATATTACAGCCTCGTAACTAAGAAAATGCCTTGGGGGGGTTGGTCTGGAAGCTCCTTCTGCAGGCTCCTCTGGGGTCTTGCCCAGTACTGACCCTGCTTGGTGCAGAAGCTTTAGCTGGAGGCCTCCCTAGATCCTCTCCCACCTGACTGAGTTGGTGGGGTGCACCTTACCTGGAATTTTTCAGGTCTTAATGGCACAAGGTTTTATTTTATCCTCATGATGTTGCTTCTGGAAGATACAGTGCAGCGAAGTTGTCTGATATGTACTGTGTTATGTAATGGCATGAATACCGTGGTAGGTAATGGGCATAAATACAGTGTGGATTTCTGTGTGGGTTTGGGATGTGGATCATGCCTCATCTGAGTCCACATACAAGAAATGGAGGTTTGGGTTTTGCCCATGGTAATTGGTGTCTGCTTCCCGGGGGAAGCATGTCATGCTACTCTGTTGCCTGTTTGCTCTTCAAGATGCTTTTCACTTTCCATGCACTGTCTGTTTCTCTTGTCTATTTATTTGCTTTTTTTGATTTTTATTAAGGAAATGGCACATTTTCTCCACCTCCACGCCGCCAAACCGTCCCTCCTCCAAAACCCAGACGCTCCAAGAAAGGTCTGTGTCACCCACTGCCTCCTCTTTGATTTTTGCTATAGGATTACAGACTGCATTGAATTTTTACTACTTGCTTACAGGATCCTCAGATGTTTGTCTCTGTACGACTGCTAGGAAGTGGAAAGAGAGCCCATCCCTGTGCTGGTGTTAAGTTTTTAACAACAGTGATGTCTTTTTATAGTTTGGAGCTTGACCTCTGCTGCTTGTTACGTTCCTGAGTCATGGTTACTGGTGTAGACTTTGAGTTGCATGAACAGTTTGCTTTTGTTGTTTGCTGCCTTGGTCTTTGTTCTTTTTATTGTTGTTTGTCAGTTGTGTCATGTGGTCACTGTTTGAAGATGAACTCTCACTGAGACATTTTCTTCCCCCATCAGGGCTGTATAAACAGGAGAAGTACACGTCTCATTCAGGTGAGAACTGCTCTTTCTTACTCTGGGTAGATAACACATCATCATAATACAGACATGTTTTGTGGTTAGGGGCCAATGCAAGACCCTGTAGTGCTGCTTCAGAGCACTGTAAGAAAATGGTCATTTTCACAAAAGAAGAGTCTTAATTCTTTTAGTTTAGTAGTGGGTGCAGTTGCCTTTGACTAAACAGGGAGTGTTTGAAGGTGAAGGGCTGTTTTGCCAATTATCAAGCCTAGCATAAAGGACACAGCCAGCATAAAGATGAACCAATAACCAAATTGTATTTGATACAAAAGGGTCAGTACATGGGTGAGCACTGGAGGTACAAACAAGTCAGATTATACATAATTGACATCAATCCCACTGACCCCAACAACACCACACGACCAACAATGGGTGGAATAAATGGTGAAATGCAGTTTCCCATAGAAGGGATGGGAGACAACCGAGTCAACAAGCCAAATACATAAGACCAAGGAAGCCACACACTGAATTTCCACACAGCCCACATTTACAAAGCCAGACCTGACTGTAGCCCAGTCCCAGGGAGGCAGGAGGTCCTTCCCCAACAGGGAACTCTGCACAGGGCATCCATCTCACACACAGACACTGCCCCTGCCTGCAAGTGGTCCCAGCTGTTACCCCTCAGTGGGACACCTGACCCTTGGTTACTCAGTGTGGGACACCTGGGGCTCATTTACCCAATGGCTCTGTCTGCCAGGCCGGCACCACCCTGGAGGGAAGCCTGAAGGCAAACTCACCCCCCTTTGTGAAGGGCTGTGGGAATCACCCACATGTCAACCTTAATTTGGGGCTTGGGGTTGAAACCCCAGCATTTTAAGGGCCTGCATGGTTGTGCTTTGGAGGAGCAGGGAGGTCTTACTCATCTGATGCCACAGTCCTTAGAAGTCCAGCATCCCTTGAGAGGATAGTCATGCTGCTTAGGTGCACAGTCATCTGTTGACATGCAGAGAGACTAAGCCTGCACACCCGTTGCTAGCCCATCCAGTGTTGCCCTGAAGCAGGATTTAAATTCATAAGCTGAAGGACTGGACAGTGTGTGTTTCTGTAACACCATACTTTGTTTTTGTAGACTCAGAAAAGGTCTGTAATGGGGGTGAGCAGTCAGGTGGCTGTGAAAGTGCAGCGTGTTCCCTGGATGATGATGGCCTGTTGTGCTGAGCTCTGTACTGCAGTGGCTGGGCTGCCAGGTGATGCTGTGCAGGGCTCTTGCTCTTCCCCTGGCACTTGGAGGATAAATTTTGTAGCTCAATAGCAGATCATCGTGTGGAGGGAAGAGAAATGACCATTTGAGACACTATAAAGAGACTGCCGTCCTCTGTGTCTTTGTGTATGTGTATAAATAGAAAACATAAAATAAAACATTCCTATATACATAGGAAGGACACCAGGATGCTGGAATGGGGAGAAGTCCCCACTTTTGTGCTTGTGAGGTGATACAGGAGATCAGAAAACTGCTTTACAAAATGTCTCTAGGGGCTCTAAGATCTCTCTCCCATTTATTTTCCTCCTGGTATTCTTTTTGCTCAGTCTACTCCAAGAATGGTGAAGGAGTTGGTGTGATTTGGGATTTTGTTCTCGAATTTCTAGCTCAGGATATTTTGTTTTATTTTTGTCCTGCAGGACAGAAGAATAAAGACTCTGAAGCTGAACTGATTCCTCGAAGTATGGTGGCTGTCTTTGACTATAACCCTAAGGAGAGCTCTCCAAATGCAGATGCAGAGGTAACCACCAGTCCTTTTATAGGGTTCTTTTTCCTCTCTCTTTTTTTTCTTCTATCCAAAGACACTTAGCACTTCAGTCAAAACAGAGACTATTATAGCTTGGCGATATTACTGCTAAAAAGGGGTTGGCTGAAGTCATAAAATGTAGAGTTTGCTGACATGTTCTCCCATGCATTCTCTAATAACAGTGTTATCAGTTATCTGTGAAGAATATGAAGCAATATAGCCCTAATGATTCTCAGTATGTGTCTCAGTGAAACTGTGCAAATGTCTCATGGCTTCGTAGCATCCTCTAGTGATTAGACAGGACTAAGCAGATCTGGGGTAGGAGGAGGCAGACCCTGCTGTTAGCAAATGATCCAGGGCACACACTGGTGAAAGGAAAACCTTGCTTAAGGGGTTGAATGGACTTCTGATACTTCAGAAGAGCATGTATTTTGCATTAAATACCTGTGTAGGTCTTTGTTCAAGCAAGACTTAGCTTCAGTTTAATGGACCAGCCTTCGAAGTTCTTGCTTTTCAAACATATAATCCAAACAGTATTTTTGTGGATAAGTCTGTTTCAAATGGAAAGGTTGCAATGCAGAATCCGTTCTGCAAAATAAAATGCTAAGTTAGAACATGCTCTGTTCTCTCTTCCTCCGTAGTAGTGTTAGTCTACTCTGAGTAAACACGAACATGGGGTTTGGATTTGGATTCCTTCCATGCACCCAGAAAGGAGTGAATTCCCAAGAAGTGGCACAGTTCAGGCAGTCCTTGCCTCCCAAACTGAGTGTCTTGTGAACAAGGCAGCCTGCTTCTGGGGACACTGTGTTTTAGGGATGGTGGTTTATCCTGGGAGATATGATGAGAGTGTGTATCCAGCCAAAGAACACTTTCGAGCCCTTGTCAACAAGAAGATGACTATTATTTGCAGTGATTTGGTCTTCCTAGAACCTTCCCTGTGGACAGAGCTCAAATTACTGAAACAAGCTGGTGCAGTTCTGTTGCATTGTTGGAGATGCTTCCTGTTCACACTCCCAGAAAATTTGGTCACCTGTTCTGCTAGAAGGCTGCAGCTGCTGTTTGTGAACTTGCACCAAGATATAGTAGGATCAGCTGTGCCGTTCTGTGTGTGAGTGAAGTTCCCTACAAGTGTCTTGCTGCTAGAGTAAAGTAATTCACAGCCAACAGGAGGAGCCTGCAGCATCCAGAAATAAACTGAGTACTAGGGATATAATAAGCTAAATATATTAGAGGTAGATCCCTTCCAGCTAACACTTCTGTGAAGTGCATCTAAAGCCAGTGTGTCTTGAGAGGGACACAGCCTGGTTGGACTGCACCTTTAGAGCAGCTTTTTTTCAGTAACTGGGCAGTTTCTTCCATTAGAATGGACTGCTTACACCTTTGTCTTCAGTCTTGCGCTCCGTGGAGCTGACAGGACAGACGGATGTGGTGGTGGAGGGTCATGTTTGTTGTACAGTAATATTCTATTTCCAGGTCAAATCTTCCTGTTTGTATGCATTCCTGCTAGTGAGTAATCCCTGCACATTGCATACTGAACAGGATCGTCCATGGGAGCAAGAGTTAGTACTTATATTTGAAGAAATTAAAGGTATTTCTGGTGTTTGTTCAGCTTGTTCTCAACATACGTTTCCAGAACAGGTGGTAGGTATTATTTTGAAGCCTTACTAAAATTGATTTAAGAAACAGACTTTGCTATTGACTTTTATTTTTATTTTTAAAACTTTTAAAAATTCATTGTAATTTATGAAATACTGCCTTAGCACTGAATTCAGCAGTTAACTACTTCAGTTGATCTTCTGCATCCTGGTCCTGCAAGTCTTAACACAGTGGCCTCCCTCCCTCGAGGTGAGATTGTATAAGAAGCCCAGGGTGACCTTGTGTTTCTGCTTAGAAATTCCAGGCAGTGCTTCTCCTTTGACCACTGTTATCTTGCTCTTTGCAGGCTGAACTGACTTTCAGTGCTGGGGACATTATCACTGTGTTTGGGTCCATGGATGATGATGGATTCTATTATGTAAGTACAGGGGTCGGGAAGGTCCTGTGGCTACATCTGAAATCGTTGCAGTCCATCTAGTGGCAAGAAAGCAGAAATCAAGGAACAAAATATTCTGCTTTTGGAAAAAAACAACCCCATATCTGCTTAGTGCAGAGCAGATTGTTTCTGGCAGTCCATGCTTCTCCTGTAAACCCTATATCCAAACGGTCCTGAGTTTATTTCTTAGCATAACTTGACTGCAGGTTTCCCAAAGCTTAGGATGCATTTTTCTGTACGTACATCAGCATCTGCTATAAGCTGTTTTGTCACCAAGCACTCAGACACATGGTCTT